TAAAATGAAAAACTGAAAGAGAGACAGAACAGAAATACGAAGCCTGATCTGGCAAGCGAACAGGCCTCCAAGATTTACTGAAAATCAGCATTAATGTTGAGTGTGCTCCCAGCCAGCTCCATATCCATAATGAGATGAATTTATTGTGGGAGATAGCTTGAGCAGGTAAAGGAGATGTGCCCCGCCTTAGGACAGCATTGCAAGGAATGTGACAAGTTGAACCATTTTAGCCATGTGTGCAAGAGCAGTGGAAGATCTCGGAAAGACTGTTGCAGACTTGCACAAGAGAGGGATTCCATGTCAGACAGTAGTGATGACATCATGACTCCCCATGAGTTCAAGAGCATATCAAGTTAAAGCTGGACAGGAAAACAACAAGGGATAGTACCAACCTCTCTGCATGCAACAATGTTAATAGGGGAAACGCCCTGTGCAATTTCAGCAGGATAGCAATCTAATAATGTACAAAGAGAGCTTAATGCAGCCCATAAGAAAATGTGACCTCATAGTAACTAACCCAAAAAAATAACAGTCCCCCCAGGGAACATGGGCCTCTGACTAATTCCACAGATCAAGATATTATGTCCATTCCACTGTGCCCCAGGTGAGATGACAACAGATTGAGAGACAGGAATAGTTTTAAGCCTGTGGAGTTTTGTCTTGAAGCTATACCCCCCACATGCTAATATGGGTTAGGCCTGGTCATTATTTGGCTGGAGGACCTCCCGGGAAAACCCAGTAGCTGCAGAAAATGGACTTGGTAATTCAGCACATGGCCTTGTTCCTTGTGAACCGGTACTGGAGCAGCCTGGTGTTGGAGGTGCTGCTATCCCTTGGCTCAGATGTCAGTCATGGTCAAAGAGAGCAAGTCATGGCAATTACAGATCCCATAGAACTGTTCTGTACACCCAGGGATGTTAATCCCAATGTCCTTGCTACCGTTCACATTCCACCTCCCTAAATTAGCAAATTGCCACTGGGACCTGCTGACTTGAACTCGCTAAGAGTTCAGGAGGCATTGTGCCTGCTGGATGCTTCTCCCCACCCTTGCATACCACAGGGAGGGTTGAGCCCTCACGGTATAAAATATATAAGGTCAAGTTGGAGCGAAGTCTGCCCTGAGGGCTGGGAACAGGTTGAACAACTCTGGTGATATTGTTCTGTTCCTTTCCTGTGTGATGGGGACTTAATGGAAACCTGCCACTCCCTTTAAGTAGACAGGTCTCAGGAAGACAGCAAAGAAAAATCCAGTGTTAGATCAGTACAGGAGCTGATCAGGCACTTAGTGCCTACAGTCCATGCAACAAGTATGACAAGATGGCTTATATTTATACTGGTCAATTACGTGGCATTAGGTAAGTTTTGGACTTAAACCTTCATTTGAAATTGAGCACAAAGCCTTAGAAACCAGAATGAATAAAGGCCTGTCTCTTCATGCTCCTGTTATCATACATTTATGAAAACAGTCAGAGGGAAAGGCGTAAATTTTGACATAGACAGGGGCAGCCCTTCTCCAGAAGGGGATTATGTCAGCAGTGTCAGCCCAGTTCAAAACAGGTCTGGGATAATTTTTCTTGGATCTGGTTTGCATGTGTTTGTTCCTGCTGCGTTTGCTTAAGTGGTTCAGTGAAATAAAGCTTAGCTTGAAGTTGACACATTTTGTTACGTTCTCTGTGTGAAACTGTTTAGTTTGGATCAATGTCAGAAGTAGAATAGCAGTCATTGTGGGAAGTGTTTTTTTATGGGTTGATGTTCGGTAGGGAGCCTTGACTTCCATCCTGTGGCTTGTTCTACTGTACATGGCTCAAACTCATAATACAGCGACAAAGGACAGCCCCCAAAAGTTTGTGGATATCCAAACAGAGCAAAGCATTTGCATCCAGTTTCAAAGAATGGATGAAAATTTCACATTAACCACTGTTGATTCATGAATGCAGATCAAATGCAACCCTAGGTTGATTAGGAGGGAGATCGAGGGTTAGATTGTTCTGTTATTTACAATATTATTTTTGGTCAAGTTCTAATTGGAGCCGGTGATGGAGGATAGTCACTTCCATGAGCGCCACTTGTCAGCTGGATGCAAACCTGCACTCTTCTCTGCTCCCAGTGCCCCCTGTTGGCTGTTGCCCTTGCAGGATGGGACTTCATTGGTTCAACCCTCCAGCTAAGTCACCTGGTTAATAGGTGACTGGATGACCCCTTCTGGGGTAACAAAGTTCAACATATGGTTGGCCCTCAACAGGGTCTTTGGCCCCAATTCTGGGCCTGTTTAAACTCCAGCCCCTTTCTCAGGCTTTCAGTAGAGAGTCTTGTCCCCTTTTGGGACTTAGGTCACTTTTTCGGTGGCCAGTAGGGGAACTCAGCCCACCCACTATTCCAGGTCCCAACCCGGGGACCCTATGACAGCAGCCATGTACTGTTTCCCTTAATAGTTGCTGCTGCTATTCTCCCTGGGCTGTTTCCCACTCAGTCCCGTCACTTTCACCAGTTACCTTAGGGTTACAGTCCTTGGGTTCTCTCTATCTAATCCCTGGTCGATCAGGGTCTCTCCCAGGTCTCCTTGCCTGGAGAGTTTCTCTGTTTTCCAGCCCTTCCTCGCCCTTCTGGTTCCAGCCAGCAACTCATGTTCTCAAGCTCTGCAGCTGCTTTTAACTGAGCCTGCTGCACTCTGAGTGGTCACTTCCCTGCAGCCTTTCTCGGCAGGCCTGGAGGACCCACCTTCAATGCTCCTTTCCTGGGGTGGGGTGCAATAGGGCCACAAGGCCTCCAGCAAGGGCCCTCAAAGGGCCTGGTACATCCCATCACACAGGCTAAATAATGACTAGCATTCTTCAGGAAATACAATTGCTATGTTTTTCTTTTTTGATCCATTGTAGCCCCATATATAAGAAATATTAACTTAATCCATATGTACATAAATAAATAGGTAAATCAGGGAGATATCTTACCTTTGGAGAATAAGGCTAGGATGAAGATTTTGAAGGGTTAGGAATGATTGAAGTGTTGTAAATAATTATAATTTTGCTTCTTTCAGAGGGTATTTTGCAAGTGCATCCATTTGATTGCCCATTTTGCTGGTAATACAGAATGCTCCCATGCTGGGTTATTACCAGCTGAAGGCTGTTGGGTGCCTTATATGAAATGAGCTGGTGATCTCAGTCCAGGGGAGCTGCAAGGATTTATTGCAGCAGTTAGTGGTGGCAAAGTGATTTGAAGATGGAAATGCCGTATAAGTGCAAACTATAAATATAGGTTCCTCCTGGGGCAAGTGTCTTCACCACAAAACTCCCCATCACAGCTGGTGCGAGTTAGTACCCTTGTTAACAGTCTAAGTAGAGAGGCCAAGCATGGAGTTGGGAATGGGGAGTGAATTATCCTCACTCCCTCTCAAGAGTTGGGGCTGAGTCCCACTGCAGGGGAGATGTGATGGAGTTTGCCCTACTGCTCCCTGTGCTGCATTGTGAATTACTTGGCCTACGCACAGAGAGAGGATGTTAGTTTTCAAGGCTCTCAAACCAGGACCATCAACAGCACTAAATTTACCCACAACTTCTAAACCAATGAGAGAAGACCTAGTCCTAGATGCATGCAGTCCATTTGAGAGCTCCAGGATGAGAGCCCAGCTACCCTCACCAGTAGCACTGAAAGGCCCCTCTCTGTTTCTTTGGGAACAGGTCTGACAGCCAGCCAGGAGACATGCAGTTATTGGGATGTGATGAGCAACCTGAGTATTGCAGACACTAATCCTCGCCTGATGAGCGTGCGCCCAGTGACTGACTGGAGAGAGCCCTCTATCATCAGAATTGATGTCACCTTACATGCCACCCTGGACTTGGTGAGGGACTCTGCCAGTGCCTGGGTGAAAATTCCTGCTTCTTCTTGCCTCAACTCAGGGACCTGCACTGATGCAGCTACACTGCTTGTTGGCCACTGATACTGCACCAGTGCTATTCCCAAGTGCGGAAGCGGCCTTAATTTCTCTATGCAACAGATCCTTCTTTTCACCAGCCTGTGTGAACACTCATAACTTTTTCTCTAACACCACTCAGCCACTCCCATTAGCTGCTGGTATCTCAACTTCCTTTTAGGTCTCACTAACCTGTATCTAGCAGTCATTACCCATGCAGGAAATTTTCTGCATCTTTATTAGAGACACAATAGATATGAACTCAGTTCTTTCTCTTCCTCTAGGATGAGAAGTTACAAATCCTTACGTCTCTAGTGAGATTCCAAATGGTGAGGATCATGTTCTTAATTTACCATGTCACTTTATCACACCCACTAAATGTGAATCTTCCCCTAACAATCCATTTCTTTTTTCAGAGCTGGAAAAATCAGTTCCTCACTTGGGATCCCCAAAACTTCTGTGGAATCTCTAAGATCTCCATCCCTGTGGACTCTGTATGGAAGCCGGACCTCTTTGTCTCTGAAATGTAAATTCTCAGTATTAAGTTGAGGAGTGGGGTCCCCTTTTTTTCAGTGTCAAAATTGGGGATGAGGCTGTGAATGGCTGGTGAATTACGTGTGTGAGTAACATGCAGTAATTTATTGGGACTCTCGTCAGCTTTTGTATGAATGAAACTACACAAAAATAAACTGCAAGGCATTGCTCTTCTCAACCAGCATTACATACTGCAACTTACTGCAGTGCATTATCTAACAGAACACAACAAATTCATCCTTTCCCCTCTTCCTTCAGTTGCTAGTTGCTATCATTTTAGGCAGCAAAATCGATTATTTGATATGAGTCAAGGAAGTGTCTAAACACCCGTCATTATTACATATGCATGGACCAAAGGCTGTGTTAACAGTCTAGAAGCCCAATGATCTATTCCTTCCCACCTCTCTGTCTCCATTGGCAAAGACCTCTGCGCTCTTCAAGGAGCCAGTGTTGATATTTCCAATGCATTTTTTCTTCTTTAGGACTGAAGATCCTCAATCCCCCACAGTTCCTTTCATGTCCCTCTCCAGTGACGGCACCATCAACCAATGGAAACCAATCAGGATAGTGAGCACTTGCAGCTTGGATATCTACAAGTTTCCATTTGACACCCAGAAGTGCAATCTGACCTTTGGTCCCTATGTGCATACAGGTACGTGCAGGGTTGGTGCAGGATGCTGGGGGCTCCATTTAGCATCAGTAATATGGGAAGGGCTGGTGAACAAAGTTGTCACCCTTGGAGACTATTTAGCAGAAATCTAACTGTCATAGAGCACTTATAGATAGCTCCCTGGAGAACTTGTAGACAATTCCTAAAAGGGGTGAGGATTTTGTTCAGTCCCCTCCGAACCAACCCAGAGGATGCTCTTCTTGAAGACACAAAAGTGCTTTGCCCAAACTGGGAATTCATCATGGGCTGACTCTATAGGTGTGGGGCTTCCATTGAGATACACACACAGCTTGATAAAATGTTCTGCATGAGTCAGCTTTTAGTCTCGCTCAGCACCTTAATTGCCACCTTCCCATTCTTCTGCTAATGGTTTAGGGCCAGATGGTGTCCAATCCTTGCATGAACGTGTGTGGGGGAAAAGGTGCAATGGGCTCCTGTGTGAGTGCCAGGCACAACTGCTTGCCACACTGAAGAAAGCATAGGGACTTCTCCTTCCTGGCACCCTCCAGGGGTGAAGGGCCCTCAAAGATGGAGGGGAGGAGCCATTCCCCTCCCCATCAACAGGTAGACACTGGACCATCATACTGTACTGTCCTAAGTGTTCCAACGTCTCCTTCATGCTGGGGAACTCTGGGATCCCAACTGGAGCTCCCCTTGGCAGTGCTGCTCCTCCTTGTCCTGCACGGCCCTGTGACTCTGGCCCTATCTGCCCTTTAATCTCGCAATGCCATGCTGACTGTGAGAGAGCAGGATGGTGCCAATGCTGTAAGGCTATTTGAGGAGTGACTGCTGGGTGATTGAGCCCTCCACTCATTGACTGAACGTGCCATCTTGGACACCTGCCCATCACGATCCCTGTGGAATATCCCTGCAGGAATGTGCGATGAGATTTTAACTCACACACCTAGGTGATCACTGAGCACATGCCTGTAATGGTTTTTGTCATTGGAAGGAGCCCTTCCAAATGCATCAAAGCAGAAATGAATCATATTCCCTGGGAATGGATTAACCCATATCATTCTCCTTTCTAACTTAAAATAGTTCAGGACATAGTGGTGGTGCCCAAGTCCAACTCCTCTGCAGTTACACAAGCTTCCCAGGAGAATTATGCAAAAAGTGAATGGCTCCTCGGGAAAGTGGATGTTCTGAGCAATAATGTATCCACTGAGGAGAAAGAATGGAGTCAAGTCACATATCAGGTAGGACTGGAAACAACACACACCGCACATGTAGCCTATAGCTAGGGAATTTGATCCCAGATTATAATATATATTTAATAATCCAGTTAGCACAACTGTTGTCTATCCAGCACTAGTCTACTCAAAATCCATCCTACTCCTAATCTAACCTTTCCACTTGACTTTCTTCTTATAGAGGGAGGAGCTAGGGGAAATCTGTGTATCACAATCACTTTGGAACACAAAGCTGTGTAAAGGAAACTACACAGATTTCCTTATATCATGTGGTATGTCCTTTCTTGGCTCGTTGATGTTAGAAAACATCTTATTGCAATAGATTTTTTATAACTTGCTGGCTTGATGCAAGAATAGGACTGTTTAGCCTTAAAGTCCCACCACGATGATACACACCATTTTATAAATAAAGTTTTTTCAAACTTGTCACCCAAGAAATATTTTTGCCAAATACCTTGTCCAGCCTTGTTCATCCTTCATCTTGACCAGGGGGTGGGCAAACTTTTTGGCCTGAGGGCCACATCGAGGAATAGAAATTGTATGGCGGGCCATGAATGCTCACAAAATTGGGGTTCGGGTGCAGGAGGGGGTGTGGGCTTTGGGGTGGGGCTGGGGATGAGAGGTTTGGGGTGCAGGAGAGTGCTCTGTGCTGGGATCGAGGGGTTTGGAGAGCGGGAGGGGGATCAGGGCTGGGGCAGAGGGTTGGAGCATGGGGAGAGGCTCAAGGGTGCAGGCTCCGAGCAGTACTTACCTCAAGAGGCTCCCGGAAGCAGTGGCATGTCCCTTCTTCGGCTCCTACGCGTGGAGCAGCCCCTGACCCTCGGAGTGGGGCCATGTCGCGCTGGAGCGGGGCCAAGCCGCGTGATGTGGCCCCCGACCTGGCTCCCCAGAGGGAGTTTGTGGGCTGGCTTAAAATGGCTCGCAGGCTGTAGTTTGCCCACCTCTGATCTTGACTGTTCCAGGCACCTAATCCCTGGCTTTCCACCTCTTGCCTCACCATCTCCAGTCTCTGCTTGACGTTTCCAGTCTCTTTCACTTCTCCAGTCACAGCAACGATCATTGGTTCCCTTTAATTGACCACCTGTCTTTCACTGCATCAAGTATGAGCCACTCACTCTTTCCTTCAAGGCCTTGTATTATTGTCTCCCTCTGGTTTAACCTACATCTCTGCTTTCAGTGCGGTATAGTCTTCCTCCCTTTTTGCTTACTTCATCGCCTGCTTCTGCTCTCAGCTTTGGGCCTACTGTGTTGCTGCGCCTCACTCTGGGAATAACATTGCACCTCCTTTCTTCCCCTTTTCTCTTCTCCTTCAGACACTCCTTTATACTCACTTTGCCCAGGAACCTTCCTAAACCGATGTCCTCACAACATCATCTCCACAGCTTCTTGTGCTGAAATGTTCCTTTGTGGTTTGTTTTTGTCTATTAGATAGTACATTCTCCAGGGCAGGAATCCTGCCTTATTTGCCTTCTAAAGCACAAAGTAAAAAAGGTACATTTCTGGGGCTATATAAATAAACAACAACAACAAAGAGAGACCCAAGCAAAGTCCCGTTCAGGTAGAATGTGTCCATCTTTCTGTTAGAATAGTGAGGTGGAACGTTTTAGTGCACTGCTCACAAGTGCTGCTCTTTAACAGATAACCATACGGAGGGTACCAATCCTCTATGTCATCAATCTCATAGTCCCTGCCGGTTTCCTGGTGCTTGTGGATGTTGCCAGCATGTTCATACCGATGGAAGGAGGCGAGCGGCTGGGGTTTAAAATAACAGTTGTTCTGGGATTCTCTGTGCTCTTGCTGATATTGAACGATTTGCTTCCCAATTCAGAAGTCACGCCAATCTTGGGTAAGAGCTGCACAGTCTGTCATTACTATTGTGGTTATTCATACTGAAATAGAACCTAAAGCTCAGGCCCCTATTAGACTATGCAACTGTACAAACACATTGTAAGAAACAGCCCCTGAACCCAGAGGTTTACAATCTCAAACCAGGCAAAGAGGGAGGGCGGGGGACACAGAGGCACAGAGCGGAGACATGATTTGTCTAAGGTCACGCAGTAGCTTGGTGCCAAAGATGGGATTTGTATTCAGGTGTCTGGAGTCCCAGTCCACTGTCCTATCAACTGGCCCCCACAAAAAACGTCATGAAGTGCCCTAGGGATCTTGCAGTGCAGATCTAGTTTACCGTTCAGTACTTTTGATGGCCACTATACAAAACTCTAAGATACACAGATACATTGGGTGGGATCCAAGAAGTGAGGTTGCAACACTGAGCGTCGCAGGGCCTAACCTTCAGGTGCCTAGAAAAATCACCGGGACAGCACTACAGTCCTCACAGTTGAGGCTCCTGATGCAGTGAATAGGGAGAAAGAGGCACCGAAGAGCGCAGTTCTCAAAAGCCAACACGCTAGAGACAGAGCCACCTAAGCCAGCCAATGGGAGATGGTGACAACAGGAGTGTGTGCTAAGCCCCAGAGATCCGTACCTTCCTGCAGCCCAGTTTCAGGTGCCTAGCTCTGCTTAGCCATCCGCGCTCAGGAAGCAGCTTCCTGGAGCCAGACAGCTCAGGCGTCTAAGGAGTTGCTTGCAGGAATGAGTTAGGCACCTGCCTTGCGCCACCCAAAGTGGTCAGAGACGGAGGAGATGAGGCTGATGAACATGACAACTTTTAGCCCAGTGGTTAGTGCACTCACTTGGGATGTGGGAGACCCAGGTTCAATCCCCCCTCTTTGCCAAAAGTGGAGAGAGGATTTGAACAGGGGTCTCAACTCTCAGGAGTATGCTCTAACCACTGAACTATGGGATAGTCTGAGGTGGGACGCCTGCCATCTCTCTGCTGCAGCTGCTCCACTGTGGCTAAATTATTAAATAATGAAGGCATGATTGGAGCAGGGGTCTGGACCTGGGCTCTCCCATCTCCCAAGTGGGTGCCCTTACCCCTAGACTACAGAGTCATTCCCCCACCACATTCACTCTCTCTCTCTCTCTCTCTCTGGCCCAATGACTGTTCCACTGTGCATACCTACTTAAACAGTCACTGGGCTAGAAAGACAGAGAGAGCAAGTGACTCCATAGCTCAGTGATTAGAGCTCTCAAGGAGGTGAGAGACCCCACTGTTCAGATCCTTTCTCCCCCTTAAAAGGGTGGGGGATTGAACCTGGGTCTTGCACATCCCCGGTGAGCGCTCTAACCACTAGGATAAAAGTTATAAGGCGGGCTGCTCCTCTTCTCCCCCCTCCCCTTGGATTTTAAATAGGACCTGATCTGGTATGCACTCTCTGAACACCTACTGGCTCAGGCCCCACATGCATGATAGGCAGAGGAGGAGCCCCCGTCTTTAACTGGCTCATGGATTGCTGTGGGGATTTGCTGGGAGATAGGCATCCGGATGCCTAGAGGGAGGCAGCAGTGCACAAGCTCAGAGGCAGAACCAGAGGTGCTGAGGGAACTTTTATCCTGAAAACGTAAGTGCCAAGTGAGTTAGGCACCTACAGGCTTTGGTGGGAGTTTCGTGAATCGCAACGGAGCCAAGGCTGGGACTTTGGCACTTAAGTGCCTTTGTGGATCTGGGCCATGGTGGGTAGGTGACATTCATGATCAAGGAGATGTGCTTATTCTATTGCGATTATTTCCAGGTGTTTTCTGTGCTGTGTGCCTGGTGATCATGATAATCAGCATTGTCGATTCCATCTTTATCTCCTACATGCTGCATCTCTCAGCAGTGCGACCGGATGTGCCCCAGTGGCTGAAGATCTGGGTACTGAAGCATTTGGCTTTCATACTTCGCATTGACACAGGAGAAGTTAGTGAAAGCAACGTTGAGGGAGTCAGGAACACAAACAAAGGTATCCGCTGGAGTTAATCCAACAGGGCCAAGCTGGGCACTTAACTCCCGTAGGCTTCTTTGTGCATCTCAGCCATTGACCAGGACTCTCCCCCTCCCAGGATGACTCTGGACTGCAGTTAGTTGTAGATAATGTTTTTTGAATGAGGGCAATGTGTGTTTCCTGCCGGGGGGTGCTACTCATTACTTTCCCTCGTTACTAGGAACAATTCTCCCAACCCCTAGATGGCGGCAGAGTCCAGCAGATTAAACAACCAACATTGGTTTTAGCAACAGTACGATATTTTCACAAAGAACATGCCCAGAGATCCAATCTGGTGAGCTCTTGCTGATTTTGTATAGAAAAGAAACAGTGAGATCCAGGTAAGAAGGGACTCACATGAAATGAGTGAACTCACTTCAGTAGGTAGGCTCTGAAATGGGAGGCAGATTTCATTCACCAGTAACCCGCTGCATAAATGCAGGTTATTAATTGATTAGTTGATTTTGTTCATCAACAACAACTGGTGGCTGTGCAGACTAATGGTTAGAGCACAGGCCTGGGCTTGGGGCGTCCATTCCTAACTCTGCCACTGTCCTGCTGAGGGCAAGTCACTGAACCACTTTCTTCTTCGGAAGAGAATCAACATTTCCCAAACCATCTCTAATATATTGGAAATAACTGTCCCCCATCAACATCTTAACATACAATTATTTTTCTGGTTGTGATTGTAGCTACTTCTGTGGTGGAAAAAGAAGCAGACATACAAACCAGGAGGTGCTTACAAAAAGAACATGACAGTGCGGAAATTAAACTGCTGAAGAAGGTGCTCCTGGAGCTCTTAATGATCCGTCGTCACATGATCATGAGTAAGAGAGAAGAGGAGGCCAAATCAGAGTGGAATATGGTGGCCTTTGTCCTTGACAGATTCATCCTGATTTGCTACCTCCTAACAGTATTCATTATTTTGATAACAGTTGTGGTAGTTTGGGCTTTCTAAGCTGTTTAACAAGCCATACTTGTAATTTGGGAAAGGCGCTCCTTTTTCTGTGATGTGTCTATAAACCCAAAGTAGATACGTAAATGTGAGATGAACTTGTAAACAGAAGGGTGATAGCTCATTAGCTCTGATTACTGCCCGGAGCTACCTGTGGGTCTCACAGGTTTCCATTCCGGTTTCTAGAGGGTCTTACTATAACAGGCCACAACAACCTTCTCTTGTCTGCTGTGCACCTGGGAAAACACAGCTCCTGTTCCAGTCTATCTTCAGTTACTACCCAACACAAATAAGTAACCTGGCAGAGGATATCCCAACACTGGCACAGTGATCAAAGCCAACTTCAGCTCTTGGAATGCCTAGCTCAGCCTGGCCCTCCATATGAATGGTGACCTCTTCTCTGTTAGTCTATGCAATGGGGCAGCTATCCCAGCAAAGCTCCAGGAAACCTCTGGTAGTAAGGGACAACACCAGGAACCCTTGAAGCTGACGGATATGCTGGAGTTCTGGCCACTCCAGGCACTTTTTCCTGGGTCAGTGGAGGTCCATTCCTCACTAACAACGTGTCCCAGAAAGCGTTTCCCTTTAGCACAGCTTGCACATTGCAGGGTGGAGCTTTAGGTTTGCTCCTGGAAACCGCTCTAATACATTACTTGCCCATTCCAGTGCTGTACAAGAGTTCCTGTTCAGATCAGCATGTCATCCAAGTACACGGACACCTGAATAGTGGGTTGCCCAGGGCCTGCTCCATTAACGGCTCAAATGTAGCTGGTGCATTATGTCATCCAAACAGCATGACACAACTCCCACAAGCCCTGTCCCTTGGTAAAGGTGGTCTTCACATGGGGTGACTTTCCCCCCTCACCTTGCCATCATCCACTCTGTTGGTCCAGTGAAGAGAACCATTTGGATTCTGCTCATGTCTCCAGCATATCGTCAATGTGGGTCATTGGATCTGAGTCCTTGTGGGTCACCTCATTCAAATGTGGGTAATCGACACAGATCTGTGTTGTGCGGTCTTTCTTGCCCACCAGTGCCATGGGGGATAGATAGTCAAGGACTTCTGGATGGTTCAGTAATTCCTGCAGTCGCCATCTCATGAATCTTCCATTCAGTTTCCTCTCAGTGGACCATAGGCAAGTGATGTGGGCCTTCCTTAATAGGTCAGGTATTACCTGTGTTGATCTCATGCTTAACTAGGCTGGTTTGACCCAAATCATCTGCCCCCTTGGGGAATACCCCCTATAATTTCACACCAACTACCATAAAATCACCCTCTGACTTTGTGTCAGTCGGGCTCCTGCACACTGATGCATCTCCTCTAACACACCTGTCAGAACCCCCAGGGCCTCTGTTCCTGGATGGCACCTATCCTCCTTCCTAACTGTATTAAACTCACATGAAATAGCTGACCCTCAGTTCCAACAGTCAGATACCCAACTAGACCTGCAAAGAGACTGTTAAAGTTTCAGACAGTCCAAACCCAGACTCCGAACTGCAGCTACCCACCTTTCCTGGGCCACCTTCATCTCTCCAATTCTAGTTTTCTGCAAGACCTGACCAAGTACTGGGGCCACCTCCCCCATTTCGTTCTTTCACTGCCAACTGGATGGGCCCAATCTCTTTCTTCAGGAAGTATCCCCATTTGTCCAAAACTGCAGGCTAAACGATACTCACAGATGACCCTGTATCAATTAACCCCTTACAGTAAACACCAGTATACCCTGCTTCTATTGGCCTGCATAGGGGGTCATTTCATCACCATCCCATCCTCACATCAATGGAGCAACACAGGATCCCAAATAAATGAGGTGAGATCATATTATCAAAAATCCAATAAGCATTTTAATGCAGGCAGTGCCCCCTCGAGACACTTGGAAGCTCCACCCCAAAAGAATGCTTTGTTACCCTTTGCATTCCCCAGCCGCTCTCAAACCACACCCATCTATTTGCCCAAACAGTGGGGGAGGTGAAGCCCTGTATAATACCTTTTGAGTTTTATGTTTCATTGACATCTCTGCTCCAATTTCCATAAAACCAATGACAGCTTTAAAAAGAGAGGACGTGTGATTCCATGAACAGAGAGAGGAGGGGCCTGGAGCTAGGTCCCACGGGTTCTATTCCCTATGGTCTTTGTCTGAATTGTTGTATGTTGTTGGGCAAAGCACCTAGGATAAAATTTTCAAGTGTGGCTAAGTGACTTTAGAGCTTAAGGGTTTCAGACCATTCAAAATGTATCTGTCTTTGCCTCCAAATCCCTATCTGTAGTAAAGGCATTAATGATACTTATCTAATTAAAGGTTTTTAACATGGATTATGATCATTGGAAGCCATGTAAATTGTAAATGCAAAGTAGTGTTGTGGCTGTGAAGGGGAACACTCACTGCTAGTGCCACCCACGGGTCAGGTTGGGGGTGGCAGGTTGTCTTCCTCTGGAGCGTTCCCCTTTCTTATTACAATTCCACCTTACCATGGTCTGTCCTTTCAGTGACTCAGCCCTCCGGCCAGATCACACTTTCAAGTTCACCCTTTTCGAGGTACATATAAAGAGTCTGATTATAGGGAATGCTTCAGAATTCAGTTAGGGTTCAGGGATTCCTTCTTGGACTGGGGTCTTGTGGTCCATAACCCTTGTACCTTCAGGGTCTTCTCCCAGTTAGGTTCCCCACCGAGGGATAGACTTATATCATTGTCCGTCTTTGGGTCTGGTAGGAGAGCCTGGGCCCATCCTCTCCATCAAGCTCCAATCCAGGGCCCAATGATAGGTAGCTAAATCCTGCACCTTGGGGTCCTATACTGCTACCTCGCTGATCACTTCTACATCTCACGTCCATTTTTTGTAGGCTAGGTCAGATCACTATAGCCTGGCCACAGGCAGCACAAGCCCCTTGTGGTGCTCCTTCTCAGTAGCTCATAGTGCAAGTCAGTTTACCTCCACTGTCTGCTACCCTCCAGAGCTGGACTGTTCTTCTTTTGAGCTCCTCCAAGACATGCATGCTTTGCAGGTGTGCAGGGTTGGGCTGCTTGGGCCCAGAGCAGCTACTGAACCCCTTTCTTACTGGTGTGGGGTTTGTTTACCCAGTCACAGTGGCATTTTCACAAAAGAAATTTGGGATTAAATAGTTTCCCACTCTATTTCGCTATAAAATTCATTCTTGGTCAGAGGAACCAAACAATATAGGCCTCAAATAAAGCAAAACTTTTAAGTCCATTTGTATTCAGTAAAGCACTGAAAGAATTATTTAACTTAAAGACCGAAGTCTACGTGACTTAAACACATGTTTAAATTGTATTTAAGACCCATTGATTTAAGTATGTGCTTAGGTGCTTTGCTTCTCTCTCTCTCACCAAGAGAAATTGGTCTAATTAAAGATATTACCTCAGCCACTTTGTCTTGCTAAACAGGAATGGACTTAAGCATGTGATTGAAATTAAATATGAGCATAAGTGTTTTGCTAATTCAGGGCAATACTTGTTACTGTCGCTCACACTGTAGCACAAGGATAAGGCATTCCTTCAGAATATGAAATTGGTCAAGATGTAACCCTGAAACTAAATGTGAAATACTAGCCAACCTGGACTTTTAAGCCATAGACACTGTACACTGATCATGCTCAGTTCATTTCTTGTTCCTTAAGCTGTCGGTTATTTATGGTTTCAGAGTAGCAGCCGTGTTAGTCTGTATCCGCAAAAAGAAGAACAGGAGTACTTGTGGCACCGTAGAGACTAACAAATTTATTAGAGCATAAGCTTTCGTGGACTACAGCCCACTTCTTCGGATGCATATAGAATGGAACATATATTGAGGAGATATATATACACACATACAGAGAGCATAAACAGGTGGGAGTTGTCTTACCACCTCTGAGAGGCCAATTAATTAAGAGAAAAAAAACTTTTGAAGTGATAATCAAGATAGCCCAGTACAGACAGTTTGATAAGAAGTGTGAGCATACTTACAAGGGGAGATAGATTCAATGTTTGTAATGGCTCCTGTTTATGCTCTCTGTATGTGTGTATATATATCTCCTCAATATATGTTCCATTCTATATGCATCCGAAGAAGTGGGCTGTAGTCCACGAAAGCTTATGCTCTAATAAATTTGTTAGTCTCTAAGGTGCCACAAGTCCTCCTGTTCTTCTTTTTGCAGTTATTTATGATCACTTCCACACTTCCCTTAGTTTTCTGCAGTTTATGCACCTCCCATCAAAATAAGCAGCAATTGTCTGAACTCTGAGGGACTTCTGGCCAAAGTAACAGAACCAATACCAAGTCATTGAGAAACATATCGAGGACTCACTATGTACTATAATTGTCAGAGTAAAGATCTATATTGTAACATGACTTTGGGGTGAAGAGAGGCTGTGGAAAGGAGAGCTGCATATGATCAGCATATAATCTGGCCCCAAAATGAAATGAATACTTTGATTTGATTGTTAGTAAGAATGGTAATATGGAACAAGGGCATGAAGGCAGGATGGCTGATGGAAATGAATGTATAATAATGGAAATTATCACGTGAGGTGGAAGTAAACTCCAAGAGCTTAATATGCTCAAATCGAGGGGAATGGATAATTTCCATCTCAGAATACTGAAGGAACTGGCACATGAGATTGCTAGTCCAGTAGCAAGGACTTTTAATATATCGATGTATTTGGGTGTAGTACCATATGACCAAAGAATGGCCAACATCATACCTATATTTAAGAAAAGGGGAAAAAAGGGGATCTTGGCAATTACAGACCTGTTAGTCTAACTTCAGTAGTATGCAAGACTTTGGAACACATTATGAAGAAAAGAATAATTAAATTCATGGAGGTAAACGGAAAAGGGGATGTAATGCAACATGGGTTTATCAAAGGTAGATTGTGCCAGACTAACCTGATTTCCTTCTTTGAGAAAATAACTGATTTCTTTAGATAAGAGAAATGTGGTAGACCTGATATACTTGGATTTCAGTAAAGCATTTGACACAGTACCACATGGGAAATTATTAGTTAAATTAGATAAGATAGGGCTTAGTACAAGAATTGTAAGGTGAATGAGGAACTACAAAAGGAGAGACGGCAACAGGTTTTGCTGAAAGGTGAATATCAGACTGGAGGGAGATTACTAGAGGAGTTCCTAAAGAATTGGTCCTGGGACCAATCTTGTTCAATAGTTTTATTAATATCATTGGCACAAAAAGTAAGAGCGCGCTAATGAAATTTACTGATGATACAAAGTTGGGAGGCATCATCAATACAGAGGAGGATCTGAATATTGTACAGGAAGATCTGGATGATCTTGAAGATGGGAGCAAAAGAAATGGAATGAAATTCAATAGTACAAAGTGTAAGGGTTTTTAGCGTCTAATAATAAGAATTTCTACTACAAGCTGGGGGCTCATCAGTTGTAAGTGACAGAGGAGGAGAAAGAACTAGGTATGTTGGTCGATCGCAGGATGATAAAGAGGCATGAACCACCAATGTGATGTGGCTGCAAAAAAGGCAATCCTAGGATGCATCAGGCAAGGCATTTCCACTAGAGAGAGAGGAAGTATTAATCCCATTGTACAAGACCTCATCTGGAATACTGTGTACAGTTCTGAGCACCTGTGTTCAAGAAACATGAATTCAAACTGGACTAGGTGCAGAGAAGAGTTACTAGGATGATCAGGAGAATAGAGTGCGTATCTTATGACAGGAGACTAGAAGAGCTTGGCTTGTTTAGTCTAGCAAAAAGAAGACAGAGAGGATATGATTACTTTCTATAAAGAAATTGGGGGAGAGGAGGGAGGGAGTAAACACCAGGGAGGATGAAGAACGTTGGTCTAATTTTCAGTGTTGGATTTAGGATGTGAGTGTTGGGTGGTGTTGGTGGCCTGTGATACAGGAGAGGTCAGATTGGATGATTTGGTGGTCCCTTCTGACCTTAAATTCTATGACTAAGCAAAGCAACAGCCCCAAATAGTGTGCCATCTATTGGTCAAGCCTCACAGGCAGTAGGCCTTTTTTCAAGTGGGATATTCCTTTACTAATAAGTATTATTTCCCATCTTCCCGCCACACCATCACAGTAAAAGGTGTTGACTGTGAATATCAAATAGAAGAGAAAATGGGAAGATGAGAAAAATTTAGTCTAAAAAAATCCTACTGGCATAGAGATGGTTAAAAACTACAAAAGTTATTCATGTGAATTTCAGCAAAATTCATCATGTTTTATAACAGTCCATCTTTTTGAATTTTGCATAAAATTGTTTAATTAGAAATTAGAATTTTTAGAAAAATAATGCTGCACAAAAAAATCCCACCATGTGACTAAACTGACTAATCAAAATTATCAGTGCAAAAAACAAAACAAAACATTCCCCTCCAAAAAACAAAAATCTACTAATGATAAATGAACCAAAAAACAACCCCCCCTCTAAAAATGATTCCCTAAAAGATTTTGTCAAAATTTTTTGAAAAGTGAAGTATTTTGAAGCAACTGGAATGTTTCCACACAAAAAAAAGTGTTTGTTTAAATGTGGCTGTTTTTTGTTCTTTCAGTAACTAAACAGATTTAGACACTGATTTTCACTGTAATGGACCTATTCACAGTGCATAAAGTTAAGCACATGTATAAGGCTTCGAAAGATAAGGCTTCGAAAGATTAGTTTGAAAAATTCATCCAGATTTACTAGCTTTGTGTTAATATTCTTTTCTCATTTATTTATTATTTAAAGATTTGTGGAGCCAATTGTCTGTTTGGAAAATAACAATTAGACTTCAGTGCAATTGGTCCTATCCCACACGCCAGCCCCTTGAAATAGGAACTCATTACCACTTATAAATGAAGAGGGAAGGGGGAATGGAGAGATGCCAAAGCAGGACTAAATGAGAAAAAGGAAATGTATTTAATTAGTGTTCTCTGTAAAACTTTACAAATGTACAGCATAGTGCAAAAATGCAGTCTCAATGCATCAACTTCAAGTAAAGTTAACAAAGTGTAAAAAGCCAGGAAATACAGTCACACTTCCTTGCAGGGGAGATTTCAGAAAAATGTTCCTAGGGGTTCCTTTCTACCATGAATTTCCAATCTAATGCCTAGAATAGAACAAGAGGTCTAAAGAAAAAGAGGGACTCTTCCCAGAGTAGCAGCTGGCAGTGGTCGCAGTATAATGTTTGGCAGTATGAAGGCTAGAATCTAACTGTTTATATAAGAGCTTGTTTGGAATTGCTCATTCTTTTGGATTGTGTTTAGTCTATTCCTATTTGCAAGTAGCTATCCTAATATGGTTCATTTTCCTACCACGAATGGATTCTGATTCAGAAAGGTACTTAAGCACGTGCCTAACTTTAAGCATGTGATATCCCATCAACTTCATTGGGATTACTCAGGTGGTTTAAATCAAGCATGTGCTTAATTACTTCACTGAATAAGGGCTTTAGACTGCCACACACACAAAGACCAATTTCAATGGAAGTTGTGTGTAAAGATCCAGGCGATTAAATAGTCCTTGAATAAGGAACCGTCAGTTTGTCGGGTGGAACAAGCTTCCAGCCAATTTTAAGTTTTCTAATA